TAAAAAAAAAAAAAAAAAAAAAAAAAAAAGTTAAGCTTTCAAATGCTATTTTCAGCCTGGTAACACCAAGAAGGTTGCTTCCAAAATCAGTGGAGAGAGACTGGCCCACTCAGGAAGGCATCCAGAGCAGCAGGTCTTGCCCTGAGCCACTTCCAGAGGACCCTGGGGACGAATTGGGCTCCTGTGCCACAAGGCAGCCAGCAGGTAGTCAAGCTGGTGCTAGAGTTATGACAGGTTCTATGCACCTAACACCACCTTAAGAAAGGTAAGAGTTACCACTTCAGTGCTATTGAAGATTGGTAGAATCATCTTCAACTTCAGAGGCCTTTCAGAGCTCACAAAATCTATCTCCATCCCCTTTGTGAAACAGGGTTTAGGCTAGAAGTCTTTTAATTGTTTCTAGAAGTGTATTGAAACATCCACTTGGAAAATTAATTAATACCAATTTAAATTTGATGCATGTGTTAGCTTGTAGATGGCTATAGGTAAAACCCTCTTGCCTTGTAACACCAAATCTATATGCAAAAACCAAAACTGCGCTGCAATTAGATTGAAAATTACTTCTCTTGAGGCAGAAACATCAACTTTTACTCCAGGTAAGTCTGAAGACAGATAAAAGACCAGCAAAGTATTGCACACAAATTTAAAAGACAGCTTCAGGATAACTTCCTTTTAGGAGAACTAAGAATTTATTTGGGCAGCACTGAGAAGGGTACTATTAAATAAATGTGTTTGGAAATTATTCTTTGGCCAAATAGATCCCAGAAGCAACACTATGGCTCCACTGAAACCAGTGGCTGAATGGTGTTTAACTTCATGGGGCTGTGACTTCAGCTCAGCTATCCAGTCACTAGATGCGACAAGTTGCTTTCCCCTTGTGGTGAATTAGCTATAAATTTTAATCAGTATTACAGTGAATAAATTAGTGTCTCTTCTATAAACTCCCCCTTTACAGCTCCTGTAGGCCATGCTTTCACTAATTAAAGTACTCATTGGGTTGGCCCTACCTCTTGCTGAACTGATATGATGTTATTGCATGTACATCAAGGGGTGTCCCTAGAACGTCACTACTTGACAGTGTACATAGCTTAGAAATGCACTGACTTAGTTTTTATGTGAGACATAGGACAAAAAGTTCATTGGCTGAAATTTAATTTATAGTTACATATTTAAATCTCAACCAAAGTTGATACCATGAGAGCTTCAGAGAGGGAAACAGGATTATGATTTTATTTTCTATTTCAGAAAATATAAATCTAGTCTGTTGAGAAGGACCTTTTTTTCTCTCCTTGGAGGATGCTCTTAATATACTTTTCCCCTTTCCCTTCTCTACTTTATGGTTATTAAAATTAAAACAGCCTAAGAAGTAAAAACTCATACCTTAAATGAAACCCTCTCCTTAAGCATTCAGTGTTAAATAAAGTAAGCAGTAACATCCTCCTCTTTGATGTTCAAAGCTAGACAGACAGAAGAGGATAAGCTCTATTTATTTGCATGTATCCTCAGCTGCCTCCACTTCTCTTTCATACCACATTAATACCTGGAAATGGGAACTGTTTTTGTTTCAGGGTAGCAGGTGCTTCCTCCGCTGTTATAGGCTCCACCAGTCTGGTCTCTTCTGTCTGGTGACACCAGGGACTATTTCAGGAGTAGCCAATTTTTCCAAGATCATGCAAATGATCTTCATGACTTTGTGCTCATTTCTCCAGGTTATGTTCACTGTTTCTCTCCAACGTGTAATTTAAAGATAAGTAGCAAACCCCGCCTTTCAAACCAAATCCAGTACTGGGTGGAAAGGGCAAGAGTTGAGCAGATGAGCGCTATTTCCAGTGCACATTTTACTCAAATAGGTGAATGTCTGGTGTAAGCATCACCTGCTCGGGCTGTCTGTGCTGTACCGAGGCCCCTGCAAGTGATCAAAATGAGGATGGGGGAGCTGAGTTATTTGCACTTTCCTCTGTGCCTTTGGTGTACATCCCCTGTCGTTGCCAAGGGGTGGGCAGAAGAGGTGGCTGTTCCGCAGCAGCAGGTGAGGGGAGAGCCCACCCCTGTGCTGAGTGGTACCGAACTGGGGCACTCAGTCATCTCTCCTGAGGCTGTTGAGCTCCGGTGCTGGTTTTGTAGCTCTTTGGTAATACTGTCAGAGAAAAAGAATTCACTCAGAAAGGAATCCATAGAAATAAGTCATAGATCCAGTTATTTTGGAAATGAGTGGAGAAATTCATGATGGTACACGTTCACTGGTCCCCAAATGAGACTAAGCAAAGACATGCATGTTTGCTTGGTCACCTGTGTAGAAGTAAATATCTTTAATGTTCAGGGCTCATCGTCCCTGGCACTGCAGCGGCTGTTCAAACCCCATCCATCTCTCCCTATGCTGCTGGAGGAATCCTTCCATAGCCAAGATCTAGCAGGCTGAAGAAGCAGCCAGAACTAATTCAGATCATGCTTGAGCAAATTAATCTAATTATCTGACTGCTGGGATGTAAGAACTAGAAGGAAGACTCTCTTAGTGAAGCGGACTGGGGCCACTGAATACTAGAAAAAGATCTCTGAAGTGCAGAAGAGAGGCATTTTTCCACTCACGGTACCTGGAAGATGACAGAGGAGTCAGACTGAGCCAGAGCCTTATGCTGTTGAAATGTTATGTCAAAGTGCCATCTCTTCTTGAGATCTTTCCTGGCGCATATCAAAAAGCTTTCCTGATGCAGGTTGCCCCAATCCCAAAAGTACAAGAGGGTGGAAGAAAAGGGAAATTCCTATTTCCAGGTGTATCCGTAATAAGAGAAAAAAAGTTTTCACTTCTGAAAGGCAAGGGTGACAGAATTAATAATCCAAAAAGGAAAAGGGGTTTAATCTTGCACATCTATTTAATGTCATGACAATGAATGTGCAGCATATGGTATAATCACTGACTCTTACAATGCCCTGTGATAAGTGAGCTGGTGCAAGCAGGTAGATACCTCTAGGGAGGCTACTTTCAAGGTTAAAATCAGGCATGGCTCAGGCATATGGAAGCAATAGGGTAAGAAAAGGACAAGGGAATTGCCTTTCTAGAGAATATGATTAATAGGTTCTTTGGTGGAAGAATTGCATAAAAATCTGAGTCTATATACCTTCTGCCCTTAGAGCATTTAAATCAGGCAGTATTTGATGCTGGAAGATGGGCAGGGCAGGTCACCAGCTCACGTACCAAGCTGTAATCCTGATTACAGGTTCCAGTAATCTCTTTTGGCAGCCGCTGTGAAGACGGTGATTAGAGCAGCTTTGGAGGAGACTAGGTTCAGACCAGTTATGGAGCCGTGACTTTGGAGAATGAGGTGTCTTCTGTGGTGACGTAGCCTTTTCTTTAATGTCATTGTGCCTCCTGTATGCATGGGTGGAGGGTGATGTGGCACCCTGACAGGTCCACAGCCTGTAACCGCTTCAGCGGTGGCCACTACAGCAGTGAGCAGGGCACAGGGTAGGGGCTTCACCAAAGCACCTTGCTGCAGAGCTGTGCCTTTACCTCTTCAGAGGTTTAAATGGTGGGGACAGGAGGGTGTACTGCCGTTCTGCCAGCCTGTCCTCATGTGAGGCACTTAATTAGGCTATCTAACCAAGCTTAAGGGGAAATGTCCTACATAGAGGGTTCAGCAATGCCCACCTGCTCAACAAGAACACCTGCCTGGGAGCATCGTTGGTCTACAGCATGAGAAATGCTCTGCCTCCAAGTAGGTTAAGCATTTTGTGACTGTATGATGTGTGATTTTTACTTGTGAGATAACAATAAGATTCTGAGTTTCCCTTTGTTTTTATTTTTATGTGCAAGGTAGTTCAGGTTAAATGAGTTTACGTCACTATTGACCTAAGTAAAGCATCAATATAGCAAGAAATCCAAGTGTCCCCCCACTTCTATTTAAGGTTTTCAGATCAGCTGTTTTCGAGGCATTTCTGTGCATCAGTTTTGGAAGGACAGCAACATATGAATATGTGATTTTGTTATGGAACGTTCATTACTTGGGTGCTGAGAGTACTCAGCTTCTCAGCAATTCCACAACATGCAGGCGATGACAGAATCTCACTGAGATCTCAGGCTTTACCGCCTAAAATAGTTTCATAACATTTCTTGTAGACACTTTTAGCATATTGGCATTGTGTAATGCAGTGAAAAAAGAAGAAAATTTCAATACTTTCTTTATGGACTTAGTAAAATTGTGATTGACTGAAAAATGAATCTGTGAGATCAAGAGGTGATAATATGGGGACTTGAATCCTCCTCCATGTCTGAAAATTCTGGTAAATGTTTTTGCTATGAAATCTGCAGCTTTAGTTTTGATTAATTTGAACCCACCTCACCTGTAACTTCTTTTTCTCTTACTCTCTATTAATCTCAACCATAAAAAGTATTTTTCTCACTGGTATCACACAATATTTTATCTCTACACATAAAAGTAGTTTTTTACTATTTTTAATCAGCCTTTTTTCTTTATTACTGATTGATTGGGTGGTTTATTGGAAGCTTAAAATATTTTATATATCTCTCTTCCAGAGAGTGCTATTCAGTGATTCGTCGTAAACACTGCTAGCATCAGCACATTACAAAAATTAGTTTGCATAAGGTTAACCCGACAAGCTCTGGGACCGGTACATTCTGTTTAACCTTAAATGAGATAGAGTTCTTAATTTTATGCAGTTTTCATTTTCATATTAACATTCTCTTCTGCAAAGCATAATCACCTTCCTGTTGTTTTTAATACTGTAGTCCTTTCAGTTAGGGCAGTTCTCTACAGAAATGCCTACAGAGATGTCTACATGATGCCTTCCTGAAAAGCTTACTCTTTGCACAGACAAGACAGGCAGAAAAAGGGGACACTAGAGAGTGGCATGGTTTGCCAAAGGTCACACTAGAAGCCAAGTAAGAAGTTGAATTCAAACCACCTGACCCTCATTCCAGTACTGTATCCAGTGACCATGCTGCTTCTTAATATGTTGCTGTTTTTATTGTTCTTTCTTTGTAGTTCGGGATCGGGTACGATCAAAAATGGAGAGAGACATTTTGGCAGAAGTGAATCATCCTTTCATAGTCAAGCTTCATTATGGTAACTATAATAAAATATAATTCGTGTTTGTTCTTAAATTGGTTGGTTGGGTAATTGTAACTAGATGTGTTATAATTTCATGCAGATATCCCCTGCCTTCTTGTGACTCTGTCTCTAACAAAATCTTAGAGACTACCTGTGTGATATTCTTTATTTATGCTAAAGGAGAATTTAAGTATAAGTAGGTTTTAGCCGTTCCTCTATAAAAATATATTTGTTGGAAAGTCTTAACGTGATAGATTGTGCTGGTGGGGTAGCTGATGAGTATACATCTGCCAAGCCCCTCACCTGCTGTCAGCTACCATTTAGGAAACCAGAGAATCTAAATTAAAATTCTTTTTAGTAATCAGCACCAGTCTGAGTTTATATATGTGTATATATGAACGTGGTGTCTTGCTGGATTTGCCTTCCTCCGCCTCACCAGCTCCCTGATGAGCACCATTATTACTGTAAAGGGTCTTCTAAGGACATTTTGGATAGTGCAGGCTCTCTCCTCACACAAACCTGAGAGCTGATCTCTGTGTCTGGCCCTCAGTGACTCCTGCTATCCTGTGCAATGGAAAGCAATATTAATTCATAGGTGCTTAACATGGAAAAGAATATATTACTAATGCATTGTTGTCTCTCAGCTGATACCATCTTTTCCAAGTCTAAGCTCAATTGCGTAGTTACATAGAGAAATTAATTTTTTTTCTGTTCTCAAAGTGCTGAAATGACAGGAAAGCTAATGGCATGGACAATACACTGCTAGTCAACAAGATTAATTCTTTGGAGACTTTATCTTGGTTCAAACTACCAATATCTGCATCCTTTTCTAATACAGCATTTCAAACAGAAGGAAAGTTGTATCTAATACTCGATTTCCTGCGGGGAGGCGACCTTTTCACAAGACTCTCCAAAGAGGTAAGCGGATAGATTTTAATTTTAGAAATGAAAGACTGTCCTGATTGCAAGAAGTCAGATGAAGTTGGTGGAAATAAAAAATAGTCAAAATTGGAAATAGTAATGTTATATATATGTAATGGAACTGGATCACCTTGCATCTTTAAGTACGTTCTTAATAATTGTATTTGAATTATGCCATAGGTAATGCAACAGATATCATGTAAGCGTCGCTGTTGTCAAAAACTGCACCACTGCTAAGCCATTACCATAGGGAAATAGCCCCAGGCTCATTGCTTGCAAACTATATCTTGGATATGATGAGAAACAGTCTGAGAAATCAATCCCCAATACATCTTGCCCTGGACATGGGCACAGAACCTCTGGAAAAACATAACCACTGCCAGCATAAAGAAGAGATGCCCATAGATGAGGGGCCAACCCCTGCAGCAAGTGTGAAGACAGCAGAGCATCAGCCCGTGAGCTGGGAGTCATAGAATGGTTAGAATTGGAAGGGAAAGTTCATCTAGTTCCACCTTGCCTGCCATGGCTGGGGACACCTTCCACTAGAGCAGGTTGCTCAAAGCCCCATCCAGCCTGGCCTTGAACACCTCCAGGGGCGTTCCCGGAAAGAGCCGTCTCCTGCAGCAGCTGCTGGGAGCAAGTCAAAGGTCATTCACCACCCTGGGGTTTGGAGGTTGACTGTCCCAGCCCTCACCAGCTCTCCTCATGCCTGCCTGGGGACAGCTGCTGCTTCCGTCACCTCCTTGGGCTCCTATCCCTTCCCTGTCCTCCAAGCCCTGCGGAGATGCTGTTGTTGCTGGAGAACAAGGCAGCCAGGAAATGGTCCAAACTTGAGTCTCGCTAATGCCTGTAGAGAGCAGCAGTGGCAAGTTTTGTAGATTCATTTGTCACTTGCCTGTCTATCCAGATGCCTCCTCAAGCCAGCTGTCTGCATTGCTTGGAGAGCAGTGCATCCTCCCACATTTAGCCCGAGGTAGGGCAGTGTGGATGGTCCCAGCGAGGCAACCTGCTGCCCCAGGGGCTGGGCTGCATCCCGTCACGCTCTGTCCCCAGCATGATGTCCCCAGCCCTTGGTCTCTTTCTGAGTTGTGGGGACACGGGGTGCCAGCATCCACGTAACACGCTCTTAAAAGATAAAATAGGGACCTTTCAAATGCCATTTTGAGGGGAAGCTCTGTTCGCTTTTCTTGGTTTAGGGAGTAACTGATGGACTAAAAAAGCTGTGAAAACAGTACTTTCATTCAAAAGTTCCCTAGGTGTTTTTTGCTCATCCAGTTTCTGGTTTGGTGACGTGCTGCAGTCTGCTGTGTGCACCACAGCTTGGGAGCCCAAGTATTTGCTTTCAAAGCTTGTTTGCTAATGTGAGAAGACATTAGCAACAGGTTAATTACACTGCCGAATAATGATGCTTATATAAGTACCCAGTACGTGGTAGCAGTTATTTTTAATACGAGGAAAAAGATTAAAGAAAATAAAAATATCCTTCTGCTGTTTGTCATGAAACCAGGCTTTGTTAGGACACAGTGTGCTGGCTTAGCAAGGGCCCCTCTGATTTCATGGGAGAAGAGAGAAAAAGTGATTTTTGCTTACAGAGGGCAGTTAACTGCTCTGCACAGTTCTCTTTCGAGAAAGAGAACAGCTCTAATTTTTTACTCCTCTAAAACTGCACATTTCCCACAAAGTTTTTCCAATGCAATGCCCAGATTTCTCTGCTATCTACTGTAAGAATGAGCCCTCTTAACTTGACAGCCCTTCTACATACTTCTCTTTTCAGTGTTTGCAGCTCATCTTGTCTACCTACACTTTGCAGCTCTATAGTGGCAAGGCATCATAAAAGAAGACATTATAGGAAATTTTGTGCTGCTTGCAATTTGTTAACTACAGGCTTGGTCCAATGGTGTTGAGTTCAGTGGACTTGTAATCAGATCCCTTCTACTACAGCATGTGTGCATGGAAAGCCTCTCTCTCTCTTGCTGTGTCAAAGACCTCTGACTTAGCTGAGTGTCTCTGCATAGATTAGATTTTCCCTGATTCTATTGATTTAATCTTGTCTACATGATTTATTCTAAACCTAAAAAATAATTTAAATTTATTGTTATAATTAATGCAATTTTTATGTTCAGACCAATTACATTTTTAGTCAGAGTTTTTGCTTATGTATCCTTTTTCTTTCTAGTCTTTGTAGTGATATTCTGAATTAAATTAAGTGATATCTGTTCTCTGAATCCTCTGTTTTTGCTCTCAGCCCTCTGCAGAGAGCTCAAGCACTCAAGTATTGTGGCTGCCCCTTTAAAGAACAGAGACTAAATTTTAAAAATAAGCTCAGCAACTTCTACTGTAGATATTTACATTTACATATGACATGTAAATTTGTATTGAGCTCTTTTTACTTCTGTCGTACAGAGTATTCACACTTGTGTATCCAATATATCAGCTTCTATTTCTGCATTTTTATCACTGTACATATTGAGATTTAATTAAAGAGGACTTAATAACATCTGGGATATAATGCAAGTTGAACCAAAGGGGTTTCTTGCCATCTGAGCTCTGTTCGTCTGAGCTTAGTGTTTTTTTGATTACAGAAATGTCTTCCCTCCTAAAGCAGAGCTTTCAGTGTTAGCAGTGTCCATATCAGCTATACAAAGCAAGCAGCTGCCCTCATTTTAGACTTCATCAGGCCCTGGATCTTAGACACCACACTACTGCTTAGGGCATCTGCACTGAGATTCCTTGAACCCTCGACGCACGGGTTTTTTAATCCATCTCTGGGTCTCCTCATGCTGTGTATTCTGCTCAGGTTTGGAAGCATTTTGCTTCCCTAAAGAGGTTACCCCATGTTAATTAGTGGGAATTTGGTAACCGAATGCCAAGATTTTAGCAAATTAAGAAATATGAAAGCAATAAGGGTTGCACTGAACGTATTGAGTTTTGCCACTCATTTCCAAAGTCTAATGAGTTAGAACCTTATTCATATTATTGCAACATGATGTCATCTAAACAGATCAAACAGATGAATGAGAGCAGCATGTTTTAAGGAGCAGAAATACTCGACAGATCAAGTTTCATTTTATAAAAAGAATCTGGTGAGAATTGTTAATGTGAGCCTTAGACAAATTATGGAAAATTGAACCTGATACCATGGTCCTTCCAGCATTCCCAAGTTAGGCAATTCCTTCCCCACGTCTGTTTAACGCAAGCCAGCCCATTGCTGTCCAGTAAATAGATGTGTTCTTCTCCTCCTTCTCTCTAGGTGATGTTTACAGAAGAGGATGTCAAGTTCTACTTAGCTGAGCTGGCCTTGGCGTTAGACCACCTCCATGGTCTTGGAATTATTTACAGAGATCTAAAACCAGAAAAGTAAGTTAATGAGACAAGAGCGAACCGAAACATAAATATATGAGCTTTCAGGCCGTTTCTGCTCCTTCTTATGCGAGCAAGTCAGAAGGTGCCAGGGGCTCTGCCTTTCTTCTCCTGTGTGAGATTCTACATACGAGAGTAGGGTCTTCCTATCATATCATTTTAACACGAGGCCAAGTGTTTTGGCTGGGTTCCAGTATGATGTGGCCCCTGCGTGCCTGGCCTTCAGTTTAGTGAATGATCTCAGCGCAGGGTTCAGATCTCTGCGCCTTTTTCTTCAGTAGCGTTGTTCACCATTGGCAGCATTTAATCTGCCCTCCCCCTTGCTGTGCTATAAACCACTCCAAGCAACTCCACTTCCAGCTCATATGAAATATGTCGTGGCACTGTTCAGTTTTATTGTAGCCATTGCTTAAAGTAAGTGAGTATCTCTGAAAACTAGTGTGTGTATTAGCTCATGAGAGACATGGTGGTGAGGATTTTAAAAACACTTTTATTAACAATACAAAATATTTTCCCAGTAATTATTCCCGCTTCTGTTTGCAGCTATTTCCTGTTCCTAATGTGGTGCTATGGAAGTTTTTCTTTCTCTTTCTTCTTTGCAGTACATTAATAGACTCAATTACACCCTCAGTGCTATCACTGGGAGTGACGTGATATTGTTTTCATTCCATGCCACTTGCCTGATGCTTTGCCTGCATCTTCTCTGCCAGCTCCAATAAAACAGGCTGCAACATTTCAAAGTGACCAGCCTTTTTAATGTAATGGTCACCATCATTGAAAAAGATGACCACTGAGAGCAGTCTCTTTGGCTGTTGTTTACACTTCCAAAGTATAACACCAGAGCAGCCTTTTCCTTCTGTGACACCAAGTACAACAGTATGCAGCTTGCTCTTTAAAATGGAGTGAACTGATTTCATGCTCATGGATAAAATAAGAGACCAGAAGTAGCGGAAGGTGGATTTTGTAGGTGAGAAGTTGAAGGGAAGGATTTATCTATAGCAAAGTACTATGTGATTTAAACTTTCAATTTGGTTTTGAGGTTTGGTTACAGCAGCGGTACTATGTGCTGAAATCCAGGCTGTCAACTACAGGAAGTCATCCTCTAAATTAAACCACCGGAGGGATAAAGGTACTGGTTTGTTACACAATGTGAAATGCAGGTAGGCAGCGCTGCCACTGTCACATGCTGGCATTGTCTGCCAGCAGCTCTTTGGTTTCAACTTTGTTCTGTATTGCTATTTTATTCATTCAGCAGCAGCAAACATGTACATAATAGAATAACTCCAATTGTAGGTTTTCAGTTTTAAACTCTGTTTCTAGTAAGTGTTAGTATGAATCACGCGCTGCTTTTCTTTCTGGTGTTAGATGAAGCTGTTTTCCAAGCTAACACATGATATATGAAGCTGCTATTAGAAGGTATCCAAATATGAGCCTTTATATTCAAATACAAATCATGGTGCTGTTACATTTATAGGCACATGCCGTAATTTTTTGCTTTAGGAGAAGTCAGAAACTGAGAGGAAAATTAAGTGCATGTCAAAACTATTCACTGTTTCTGAAATGCCAAGAGCCTGATTTTTCAGAGTTCTCAGCATTATGTGTCACTTTGTGTTTCAAAGCACATCTCTCACTGACTTCAGTTGCAAGCGAGAGCACTTAAAATCTCTGCAGACCAAACTGCAGTGTCTCAAATCAGGGATCAGTGAACTGAGAAATGAGAGCTCACCTAAGAAAGGAAGGTGCCACTGATTTGCCATTGTCAGATAGAAACATGTTGAAAAGGTGAAGATGAAACCCAGTTCTCTGTGCATTTTCATCTGAGCTGAGACCAGCCATCCATCCCCTTCACTGTACCACTCGGCTAAAATCCCTGAGTATATTAGCTGTTCTGCCAACTGAGGCAAGAGCTCTCTGGAAGAAAACAAAAAAGTATCATCCTGTAATTAAAGACCTTTGTACAGTGAAATCACTGTGTACAGCTAAGGGGGCAGCCCTCATTCTGGTATTTCATAACTCTTGAATGTATTGTTTATGGTCTTTGATGTATAGTTAAATAGATACCATTGGTATGGTTGAATCTGGACACAACTGTCATAGTATCAAATTATTTTACATAGCTATTGTAGTACAGGAGAGGGAATGACCCAGGCTGGTATAACTGAAGTTCATACCTGGGGATAAATCAAGGCATCTGTTTGATGGAAAAATATATCCTTTAAAAATAACTTTGTGAGTGCAAAGCCCATGTGTAGCCATGCCTAGGGCAGAAGGGCATGACAGCCTACGATTTCACTGGAACTTTAGAGTTAAAAAACAGATACAGCAGAAAAAAATATTCATTCTAAATGGGAAAAAAGTGCTATATTTTTAAGTTACATCTGGGAAAGAATAGCTCTATAAATAAGATGATAAAATAAATTTAGGACCACCCCAGGATGTTCTTATCCTCCCCTTGCCTCTGAGAAGGGTCAAACATGTCAAGATCATTACAGATGTGCTGCTACCCTATTCCTAAAACCCCTGGTGAAGATTCCATGTTCTCCATAGGAGGCCTCTTGGCAGTGCTTCACTGGTTGTACATCTAGAAAGTTTCTCTTAATAGCTAACAAAGTTTCTTTGCTGCAGTTGCAGGCCATTGCTCGTTCTGCTTTTTCTGCTCTCAACATCAGCCTCAGGGGATTGTGAGCACATCTGTGTCCTCAGACCTCTCTTCTGTACCCTAAACAGTCCAGCTGCCAAACTCTTCTTCTCCAGTCAGTCTTTATGGGTGTTGAGTCATTCTCATTCCTCCCCTTTGGTTTCTCTTGATCCGTATCTCCTTTGAAGTGCAACATGCAGAATTACACCCATGTCTTCAGGAGAAGCATCACCAGTCTCATTAAAGCACAAGGTTTACTCTATCAGATTTGCAGAACTGAAGAGAAATGAATCAGTTTGTAATTTCCCAGTTCTCTCTCCCCCTTTGTTAAAAGATAGGCACTGCATTTGAGCTTCTTTCATTGTTCAGGGCTTTTGCTGTCCTCCAGAAGCTCCCAAAAGTAATTGCTAATAGGTTTGAGATTGCTTCAGTCAGCTCTGTAAGTATCCTAAAATGAAGTTCATCAGAACTGTTTATGTCAAAGAAGACTAGTTAGAAAATAGCACTGTTCAGACGACTTGAAAGAACCCTCAGTACATTAAAATTTAAGGTTCAGCATTTTTTTAAGATTCCCTGAGCAAAAATCCATATTAACAATTCAAAGCTATGAATTAATTTTAAGTGCAAGCAGAATATATACTCTGGGAGTTGTTATAAAGTTAGCTGTACTTGCTTCAAAAAGGCAAACAATTGAGTTTTCTGGTTAAAGTCTTGTTTAGAACAAGGAGATGCTTCTTCCCTTAAATTGTTGCAGGCAAATTCTTCTCCTTGAGTTGTCTTGGTGGTTTCAGTGGCATCCCTTGTGGAACAAGGTACTGTTCAGTCACACTGAAACTGGTGGAATTACTTACATGGTGAGGCATGTTTCTGTTTAAGAACTGCAAGATCAAGCTATTAAATAGGGCTATACTGAACTAGAAAAATGGGAACCTATTATAAAGTAGTATATGATGCATATGTTACTTCTTATGCTGTGGTTTAAGAGTATGAGTGACTTAGAAGTAACTCTACCTTCTGAGAATGCACAGACTTCTTTTAGTTATTTTTGCCTTTTCTATCTCCAGGTACTCAGATGCACCTTGATACTGTTCTGTCGTAGGGATTTTGATTAACAAGGAGGGGTTTACCATGTAATGCCTTCAGATGTCTGCAGGAGGGACAGCTCATTTAACTGCTCATGTAACAACTCCTCAATTATCGAACTATATTAAAGAAACCCAAACCACTACTGCTTAATGCAACATGTTGTAAACTGTTACAATTCCTTCCTAAACGTAGCTGCCATGTGTATAGGGGGAAGATCTGAGAATCAGTAAAGGACAAAGACTTTTTGGTGTCTTCCACCATCCCACCATTGTCTTCCATCAAAGCAAGCAGTCAATGAAGCTACAGCAGAGATGGGTTTGGCATAAGACTGTTCAGCATGGTGGGATAGTATGGGGTCATACAAACACTGAAATGGCACAAAAGGTGGACAGTTTGTGAGGGTCTTCATCTCTCTGGGAGAGATTTGAATACTTCACTCTTATCTGGTACTTTCATAGCAAAGCCTGCAATCAAATTAAAAACTCTTTATAAAGTTTCAGGTTTTCTTTCCAACCTGAAATTTTGGCTACAGTTTCTGAAAAACATAAGGTGTGGGCTGAATTTTCTGCACAACTGAGCTGGCTTGAAAAGAAACTCAAATCATAAAAAAACAACCCACCTCAGACTTGCAGCTTTAATAGATTTGGCAGAACTTCACGATTATTTGGGTATATTTGGGTTCAAAGTGAAGCTTAAAAGACTGACTCAAAATTAAAAATAGAGAGAAATGGGAGAAGTGCGGCCGTGATTTAAGAGTCACTATAAAATAATTTGAACAACTCATAACAAAGGCTCTTTATCCCTATGCTAAAGTTGCAACAAAAACACTCTTAAGAAGGCTGCAGTCCTAGCTCTACTATGAGATTCTCCTGTAACTTCCCCTGCTACTGGCTTAGTTTCCCAGCCTCTAACATGGAGATTTTCAGCCTTTATTTTCTCAAGGATTATCTTCAGACTGAAGTCAATGAAAGCAGTTTGAATGTTTGTGGGATGGTCCTGAGGCCAAAATGTTGTTATTGTTTTGAAATAAAGAACAGGTTGACAATGATAGTATCCTGTAAACACATTGAAATGTTGAAGTGAACAAATAAAATGGAAAAATCTTACAGTGAATAAGATTGTCACTTAATGGGATTATAGCCCAGTTTAACATTTAAAAGTAGCCCACTACTTATGTATTTTATATTTTCAAGACCTTGATTTATAAGAAAGATTTTTCTCATGCCTGAATTAAGAACTTCTGGTTCTTTTTTCCCTTCCTGCAAAATAATACTAGTTTATTTCAGATTAGCTGATCCTGCAAACCATAGCTAAAGTAATTGTGATTGCCACAATGGATTTTCTACCATTGACAATGTGGGATAAAAAGGAACTGTAAAGTGATAAAGATAAAAAGAGAAGACAGAAGGTATGATCAGAGAACAAGTTTGCTTTCACAGTCAGTCAAAGGAAAACCATTTGTCTGGTTTTGTAATCCGGATGCTTAGAAGCAGGTACAGTGTTCTTCGCTTCTTAGTGTCACTCAAAGCTAATTCAGTGCAACGATTATCTTTTTCTCACTGTTAGCATATTATTTTCTTTTTATATTGAATGTAACTTCCAGTGCATAACCGTAGCGCTTTATGTGTTGGCAGATGGCAAATGTGGAAACCCCCATCTGTCCAAGGGGTGCTGCCAGGGGCCACGGGGGGGGAGCTGCAGGCGGCTGGGGGCACCCTGTGAGGGTGATGGGGGAACAGGAGACAGAGGGGAGGATTGTAGATTGAATCCTAGGGGTTATAGCATGCAGGATCCATTGATGTTTTTTGCTCATACAAACATTCAGTGTGAGAAAGTCTGTCATATGTCTCAGGCTCACTTAACCTAAGGCAATATTATTAGTGTGATAGCTGTGCTGGTATCGCCCCCCTCCCTTTCATGAGGGTAAGGTATGAAACCTCTGATGAGAGCAAAGGTATGAAAACCATGTATTATGTACATACAAAAGCAGCATGAATTTTCCGTATGAAATCAATGAAATATAAAATCAGTGTTGCTGGGGAAAATTCTGTGCCCTTTGAATTGCATTGTTGTTCACAGGGGTTTCCTGGGTGTGGGGCACAATTTTGGGTGATTTCTGTGAGCTGTACTCCCCCTTGCTATTTTTCCAGAGCCAGATCTGTGGAGTTTGTACATTCATGCTCACTTCCACACTGGCAGGTGTGTTATTCTGTTTCCTTCTGAAACACAAGACTCTCATTTAGGGATTGTAGCCACAAAAATACATTTAAACATGCCTGATAAAGGCTAATACTTGAAAATTATGCTTCTTGAAGAAATCTGGGAAGAATGAATAGAGGTAAAGAAGCTCTTACCTACAAGGAAAAGCTTTAATTATTGAACGCATAGTAGTGACACAGCTGCTGGCCTGTATTTGATGAATTGTACAGTAACAGTCTGTTCTAAACACACAAACAAATGACAGATCATCTCTTTTCAATTATGTTTCAGTACAGAGGCAACCTTTCATAAAAGTATGTCCCAATGTGTTAGTTTCACTTCTGTCTAATTTTGTTCCTGATTAAATGGATTAAAGTGACTCTCTGAGAGAAGAGGAGTATAAAAATAGCCAACAGCTCACTAGACCATTTTGAAAAGAGAAATACACTAAACCTAACCAGGACTGAAGAAACACCACCCTCATTACTGTATCAGTATTTATAGGCAGAAAGGTTACCAAAATCATTATTTTTCAGTTTCAGTGTTCCTTCTTGTTTCCACAAAAAATATCAATGCTTTTTGTGAACTACAGTCATTTTTCTCACAGAAATGTTGGAGTGCCTTTGTGAGAATAAAATAAGTTGGCAGGTGGCAAATATGAGAATACTTGAACTTGGCTTCCAGGCTGAATTTTCATTTACGCTTCTGGACAGAATAAATTAGCAGGGGCTGAGATCCGTACCATTAAGCTGTGACCAGTCATTGTGCTCTACGATCACTTCTATTACTCCAGCGTGAATGTAGCTACCTTTGGAGTTAATTTTAGGTCCAGTGAATCCAAGCCCTGATTACGTGTGTGCTTGCCTTTATTATTATGAGGAGAAAACCTGTAGCTCCTTTTCCTGCTGGAAGCAGGTACTTTGCATTTGTTGGCTTTGAACACCCTGTTCTTTCTGAGCTCAATTTGCATGCCCACCCTGAGCACGCTGTGGAGTAAGAAGGAGGCTCCCTGCACGAGTGTCGCAGGCCATGCGTCCTTCAGACATGAGATTAGACAGACTTTGAGGATCTTTTTTCTTTCTGGGGGCAGTGGATTCATTGAGGGTTTCTTTACACGTGTATTTGAGTCTTGTGTATCTCCTTACCTGTCTAAAAGGTTTTATTCATGTTTATTAACTTCAGTCTGTGTTTGCCTAATGAATATTTGGTTTTTGCTTTACAGCATTCTTCTTGATGAAGAGGGCCACATTAAGATAACAGGTATGTGAGGAACAGAAAACGTCTACAAACTGATTTTTTTTCTGCATTATGGTCTTTGCTTGGAAAGAGTTTTCTTGCAAAAACTCAAAAGCTGGAAAAGTTTGAGTATTGGAGTTCTCTTTGGCAATTTGTCAAGCACCCGTGCTGCACAGCACATGGAGAACATAGTGTTTTCTTGGTAGAAATGTAGTCCTGCCTGATATGAAGCGTGGCTGCCTACCACCATGGGTGGAAGGATGCTTCCTGTATGACTGATAACTCCACATCGAATTCTCTGAATTGTAACTGTGCAGAGGTTACCTGGAAGGTGCTGTCTGGCTATCCTTTTCACTGGTGTCCATCTGGGATTATTATTCCAAATGCTTTGGTTATCTGATCAAGGATTCTTACCAGCATTGTCTTCATCAAACCTAAACTGTGTATTTCTGCTTATTTAAACTCTTTCTGCTTTGGGCCAGAACCTCATTCTGAACAGAGAAAATAATACATCTATTTCAGGATGTACTAACAAATGCCAACCAGGCACTCCACGTAGGTACGGCTTAAAACCTGACACGCCTTTTTTTTCTTTCAATTTATTTAGATTTTGGTCTCAGTAAAGAAGCCATCGACCATGACAAGAGAGCGTATTCGTTCTGTGGGACAATAGAGTATATGGCCCCAGAGGTGGTCAACCGACGAGGACACACACAGAGTGCAGACTGGTGGTCTTTCGGCGTACTCATGGTAATGGAAAAGTTGTGTTTGTTTGTTGGAGGGGTGGCTGTAGCAGTCATCAGATCCTGCAAGTACTGCTTCCAGCAATTAAGGATTGATAGCAAAGTAGATGTGTAATGATTGCCTGATCATTTTCATAGCATCAGTGATAGAGAACCAGCTGCTCCTGGCAGTATATGAGGTAACATTTAGCCCCAGATTCTCTCTATTCCTTCTCAAAGTCCTTTGCTGTTTCAGGTGGTTATGGCGAGGCATGAATATTTCTACCGCACAGAAACAGGGCTTGAGTAGCACAGAAGAGCACAAGCATTTCAGAAGGAATACCTGTCTGGTTGCTAACATGGTTCCTGTGAGGAAACAATTCCCCAAGCAGCACTTTTCAGAAGTTAGGGAAATCCTCTTAGAAAAACTCAGAGATTTACTCTTTTTTTCTGCAAAATATAGATTAAAAAGGACATATTTTAGAGGCCGCTCTGAATGTTTCGCAGGACATCAGTGGTTCTTTTGCCATTTATTTGTCTTCATATCAGCATTGCTGAATCTTGGTCCGCTAATGAGATTCAGGTAGATTAGGACTGGTGCTAGATTTCCTGTAGTCTTATGAGCTGGTGGGAGGCTGTCACTCAAAAACCTCCTTTTCTCCTGGTGGAAGAAGAAAACAAATACATACGGGCACTGTGTCATCCTCTGTTTTTCTTCTGTACTATTTTGCTCTGTCTTGATTATGACTAGTTTGGGATGTTTGCTTTGTGCTGAGTGCATGCTGAAGCTGGTTTTAAAATGATGCATGTGAAACAGTTTTAAAATGACTGCTATTCTCATGGGAGGAAATCATCAGAAACAGACACAAATGTGCACAGAGGAATAGTTAGGGATTCATCTTTTTCTTGCATGTCTTCGCATTGGATTATAACTATACAAAAGTTTCAATCTTTCCCCGCTTGCTTCACTTTTAAGTCCTGCAAGCTATTGTGGAGGTAGTTTAAATGGAATCAATATGAGACATTGTGCTAATTCATTTTTTGTACGTGGAAATCAATGAAAAGTTAGTTAAAATGCAACATGAATTAACCAAAAAATCAGTCATGCTGGATTAATCTGATATTTTACTTGATGAGATAGCCAGCTTTATCTAAACAAAGTAAATGAAGTGGCTCTCATGTGCCACCATTATAGTAAAGTATTTGATACAGTGTTGCAGGAGAAATTAATTAACTAAAGATGCTTATTACTCCAATAATGGTCCAAAGATGGTACACATACTATCCCATGAATATGAATACATCACAGGGAAAAACACCACAGAGAGAAAGGAGCTATTTCAGCTGAAGAGTAATGTTGCCCAAGAGCAGGAAGGAATAAATTCATTGTGAAATGTAGTTAACCTGGAAAGCAGAAGAAAACTCCTGACTACTTAAGAAGTGAGGCCCTAGAAAACACTTTCCAAGAAGAGCTCTGTGAGAGATATCTGACGACAGTGGAGCTGCTTGGCTTACGAGAAGGACCCAGCAACATCCTCCTGAGTGCTGCAGGATTTGACACTGGGATGCGTTGTCAGGAAAGTTTTTCTATCAACACAGCAGCCATCTAAAATTAGGTGTTCAGGTGCTAATGCGCTCCCGCCTGCATCCATCCATCCTCTTCAGTCTGTGGTATGAAGGGAAGATCAAAGATCATTTCCTGTGGTATGGAAGCTGTTTTAGGTAGCTGCATTTTACACTACATACCACAATCCATACAGTATGTTTAAGTGCTGTTTACCCTAAGCAGACAACTGCCACCAAAAGAAGTAAGGGTAGGAAGCAATGTGAAAACTAGTGAAGATGTGGGGTCAGGAGGGCCTACATCATTGATCTAACTCATCGACAGCTATTAATCTAAGTAAATACTGTAATTTATTACCTGAATTTAAAAGGAGTGGAACTTCCTTACCTCCTATGGCCACAAATCCATTTGTGGAAGCTCAGCACTTCTGAACCACATATGTTTATTCAAGAAAGTCAATAGGGTATGTCTCCTATAATAAATATATGATAACCCTTTAAATTTTTTGGGGTTTTTTTTTTTTTTTTTGGGGTTATCTGTGCCTTCTCACTATCTCCAGTTAAATGGTGATGTATTTGGTATATAGATTGTTTTTCTTTCACCTGCTAATGAACTTGGCTCCTTCCCCTCTGTTTTTTGTTAGGCTTGCTTTTTTTTTTCCCCCTCCAGCTCTCTCCTCATCCCTAGGGACTCAATGCATTAGAATTACAAAAGATAAGAATCCATATAAATGGGGATGAGTTAAAGAGAGTAAAATCTTTCTAACTATAAGCTAATGCTTTAAGCCTTTGAGTGCCATCTTAGAGAAAAATAGCTCTAATCAGTTGAATCTTTTTTTCCTTTTCAGCAATTAGCTGGTTGGGGCAGAAAAAAGGGTATTTCCATACTATAAAAATGCAGGAGGATTTTCTGCTGCTGTCTTTTGCTCTGCTTATTTCTCCTAGTTTTCCTTGGTCTGTCACTTGTATGTTCTATTAGAGGAGCTGGTTTTCTGCCAGTCTGAAAAACTGAAGAGAATTAAAACGGTATTATTTCGCAATATGATGTGAGATATACAAAGAAAATGTACCAGTTGGTAGCATATGCATAGATTGAAAGGAAGTGAACACGATAGTGCAATTTTCATACCTTAAATTTTGATCAATAGAAGGAACAAATTAGGCAGATAGTGATAAAATGGCCTGTAGCCTAGCCATCAGAAGAGCAAACAAACACTCTCTTGTCTGTTTTCTTATGTGAAGAGGGATTAACACTACAATATCAAGAGTCGGGGTGTACTAGCAGCTCCTTACCATCCTGCATTGACCAGGCACAAGCTGGAATCAAACTGAATGATCCTTGAAGACAACATTAATGTGGCGTGCTGTGATCAAAGCAAATTTATCTGAAAAAGAGTAAAATCTGGTCTTATTAACTTATTAATTAATAATAATAACTTATTAAATAATTATGTTATTATTTATTTTATTATTTATTATTCAAGAGGAGTTTTATTATCATAACAGTAAAACTTCATTTACCAGCTAAGTCCTTGACACAGGCTGCAAAACCAAAACTGTTCTCTGCTCTGCTTGCTCACTCCTCAGTTTGTTTGAGTTATTTTATGGTATGTATCAACTCCTACAGCTATATACATCTTGAAATTAACCCTTTCCGAGCATTCCAGAGGATGCCTTGGGATCCCTTCCGAGGATTCCAGAGTAGCTGCCTCTCATTTAGTATGTGATGACAACTGGTGGGACCCAATTAGAATGTTGTGCTGGTGAATTTGTGTGGTTTGTTGTGACCAGACAGATTTTGTTTTCTGCCTTCCTGCATCTTACTCATTGCACTGAAGGTTTTGGATAGGACTTGTTCTAGAAAAGCTTTGCATCAACAAATCTGCATGGACTAGCAATTGACTTTAATTGTTAAAAAGTTGTGTGCAGGACTAATGCCTTTTCAGCTGCACTGGAGGAGGCTTGATGCCCGCACTGCCATCTGTGGGGCCCAGATAAGCTGTGTCTATAACATGCACAGGTCTCTGGGAAGGCCTCTCAAGGCAGTGGGTTTGTAGTTCATTGTACCACCTCATTTACAAAGCCACAGACCTCATGGAAGTTGTATCTCTTTGCAGTTTGGGAAAAAACACTGTATGCCCATGAGAGTCATGTGGGCAGAGAGGGGAATATAATTAGCGAAGAAGGGGTGTGATGACTCAGTAGGCAGTCCCAAATAAAAAGAAATGTGTTTATATTTGTCAGCAGTGTAGTGAATGTGTGAGTAGTGAAGTCTCCACAAGAAAAAAAAAAGCTATTCTTTTGGTATCCAGAGAAAGTAGTCTGTTCTGTAGTAATTTTGTAGTAAATGTACAATTGCATTGGAAATATCAGTATGAGACATCAAAGCAATAGTCTGCTTTTATAAAATCCCATCATAACACTTGGGTTTTTCCCAGTCCAAGAGATGATCTTCATGAGCAGTATTTCGAATGTTTATGTCAGCTGCTATGTGAAAGTATTCAGACCCTCTGCAAACACTAATTCATTGTGCTTCACACCTGCCAATAATGAAAAATACTTAATTCATTTTATGAATGGTAGAACAATGGAGTGGCAGACCAGCTCCCAGCTACCTGCAAAATAACTGGAAGTGTTGAGAGGGGAACCCAGCCATTCTGACAAGACCGTCTCTCTTTGCTCTCCAAATCCAAGTGGTATCAAGTTTCTTTGTAACCCTGAATTTTATCCTAAGATCGCCATACTTTAGCAGACTTCAGCTGAAGTAATTTACGCAATCTGCTCTCCTTCCATCTGCTAGAAAGATTCATCTGGCAATTACCCCAGGCTGCGGATTTTTTTCTCATTGATTCTGTTCCTCAATGACCTACCAAGGTCGCTTCTTGAATCTATTCCCTGAGGAAATGTGGCTCTTTCCCGAGGTCTTCCCACTTAGATATCTTCTGGGGTCTCCAGTGCTGGTGTTTTGCCTACTGAAATTGGTGATTGCCCTGAAAACTAGAGAAAGGAACCACTGCAGAGTATGTTGAGACCTAAGCAGGGGCTGGATTAGATGACTCCAGAGGCCTCTTCCCATCGGGATTTAATTCTGTGGTTCTCTTGTGGTTCTCTGTGGCAGCTGAACTGGAACAGGGAAGATTTGCCTTTCTTGCTGAATGTTGGTACACAAAGGAAGTGAAGGTTGGAAGGAGGCACAGCCTTCTGAAGCACTGGCTAACAGAAGGTGGCCCTCCAGAATACCCAGGAAGCGAATCATTTGGGAGTCAAGGAGCAAACAGATGGTTTATGCAGATGGGGAAGTGGGGAGAGTGAAAACTGAGGCTCCTGGCAAAACTATAGGGTCTGCTTTAATAGCCAAAAATACTACAGAGTTTCTTCACACCTAGGCTCAGCTCCTTGTCAACCTGCTGTGACCCATACAACTCTGTATTTATGTGCAAGGGTGTTAGCAGCCAGTGCTCACTTCTGCTTGCGTGTTTACGTTTAGTGAGATTTTTGATTTTTTGAAAAAAATAAGCAGGGAGACAGGTTGTTGTGTGGTGAAGCAGTAGCTTTAACTGATGAGATGAACTATTCCAATTTTATTTTTTTTCAGTCTTGTTATTTCATCTTTAACTTTCAACACATTTAATGAGGACTGAAATTGAGAAACCAGTGCTTTCTTCCAGCTGCTGCTTAGTCGAGTCCATTGAAGTAAAAAGCTCTGGTACATTTAACTCATATAGCTGCCTTTCACTTTAAATATTGATGTTAAGTGCGTTTCTTCTGAATCTGAATTAATCTCAACATTAAACCTGTGTAATTGGAGATGTGGTAACAAAGTGCTAGCCATTAGAGCAGGGCAGTAAATATTCCCTGAAGCCTCCAGGACCATCATTTCCCCTGCTGCCTCCTGCAACTTAAATTTCTTTTTTTGCTTCCTTCCTTCCCTCTTGGACACAGCGTCTGAATTTCGTGGCTTCAGGTTTCTTGGCCCCATGCAGCCACTGGTGCATTTGGAGATCTTTCTGTGATACTGGGGTGGGTGGGAACTACAGTCGCCTTCTTCTCACATAGTCACTGACCAAGCAGTTGCTTATATCTGTATCATCTGCATCAGCAGTGTCAAGCCCATTTCTGCCAAAAGAAATGAGCTGTAGCAGTCATTGTTAGTGCCGTTCAATTAGATTTATTATAACAACAAAGTAACATGAGCAAGTGTAAGTGAACATTAGGTACTTAACCCTGAATGTAAACTCTTTAGAAATCATGAGGAAGGTTTGGTACAATCTGTACCACTTCTGCTGCTGCCCTGGGAAGTAACATTCTATGCCCCTCGTCTCCACTATATCTGAACACTTTGATCAGGACTAAGGCTCTACTTTGGCTTTACTTTGAAAATGGTGCTTGAGCTCCAGCGTCATTTAGGCAGTTTTAAAAATTCTCCCCCATAGTGTTTCTCTCTAGAAGATGAGCTGCTTTCCTCCAGCTCTACCAGGGAGCTCTTCTCTCCTAGACAGAATCACATGGGGTTGGAAGGGACCTCTGGAAATCACCTAGTCCAACCCCCCTGCCAAAGCAGGTCCACCTAGAGCAGGTTGCACAGGAACTTGTCCAGGTGGGTTTTGAATGTCTCCAGAGAAGGAGACTCCACCACCTCCATGGGCAGCCTATTGCAGTGCTCTGCCACCCTCAAAGTAAAGAAGTTCCTCCTCATGTTTAGGTGGAACTTCTTACATGAGGAGGAACTTCTTTACTGACTAAGCAGGAGTTTACACTTTTGTATTTTCCAAATCTTGTTTATATCTTTCAGCCATACACACTTTTAGAAAACTGTTTTCTCCTTGTATCTACTATGAGTTTTATTGGCTTGAGGTAATTTGTTACTAATGCAGATTCATCCTTCAGTAAACTATAGGCAGTTAGTTATCTGGCCTCTAAACGTCTCGTCTGCCCTCCTCCCAAAACTAGCATTACAGTGTCACGGTTACAGCTTTGTTATGTTTTCTTATATTTTTCTTATGGTATGGCTATATTTAATCTGGGAAAAGGGAAGAATCAGGCTGTGGGGCAGTCTCACACAAGTTTTGGTAACGAGAGGACCTTTTTTGCACGAATGTGCTTCCTGAGAGCAGTGAAGTTACTTGTGTGATGAGATACAAAAACTACATATGGGTTGCAGAGTCTTCCCTGCCTTAACAGGCATTTAATTATAGCAATGCTGATTAATTAGTAGGTACATATTATAGTAGAAGAGATCCAAAGCCTGAGTCACAGACAGAAGCAAATAACAGTTCTCCTTACCCTCAAACGGACATTGTCCTCCTTTGTGCCCAGGCTGAATGATGTTCCTGGTGTCTTTGTGTTTCGTGATGCATAACCTTCATCATCCCTTAGTCAGAGGAACCAGCTGCTGCTCATACCCCCATGAAACACTGTGGCAGGAGCTGCATGAAAGACCTGATATTGAATCCATATTAGACGAGCTTCTTTGGCTGGAGTTTGGGGGGGAGGGTTGTTACAAATGTGAAATTCTGTCAAATTTACTGAAAGCACTAATCTGTTTCAAAGGAACCATAACTGATTGATGTTTTCCTGTGTGAGTTAGGCAAATAATTGATGATGATTGCTGAGTTTGCTTTGAGATTTGGGTTCAGTTAAATGTGACACTTGCAAAATTTATCACTAAGTGCAGCCAGGAGAACCAAAGCGGGAGAGAAAAACACATGCTCGAATGCCTTCAGAATGTGGGGTTTGTGCATGTTTCTCCTGCAAAGTATAGCAGTGGCATCTCTAAGTGCTGCAAATAAACAGTCAAAGAGGTGGTTCAACTCAAGGTAAGAAGATGAAGAGTGGCATGTTTAACCCATTTCCCTTGCACCACAGTCCATGCCAAACATCTAAGAACAGCCATACCCCTTCACACTAAGTGTCCCCCAAGCCAAATATGTCATCTCCAGCATTGGCCATAAAATGGGTGCTGGAGGAAGTAGCATATATGACCTTTCTTTCCAAAAAGACTAAAACTTGACCCCAAGTATCAGTGTAAACAGTTTGTAACAAGACGCTTGAACAAAACAGTCATGTTGGTTCTTCATGTTCTACATTGGAGAATAAATCTTATGAAGAGTGATTGAAGGAGCTGGGACTGTTTAGTTTGAGGAAGAGGAGGCTGAGGGGAGACCTCATCACTCTCTACCACTACTTGAAAGGACATTGTGGAGAGGTTGGTGCTGGTCTCTTCTCGCAGGTAATTAGTGATAGAACAAGAGGGAATGGCTGTAAGTTGCAACAGGGTAGGTTTAGACTGAACATTAGGAAAAATTCTTCAGAGAAGGAGTGGTCAGACACTGGAATAGGCTGCCCAGAGAGGTGGTTGAGTCACCATCCCTGACTGTGAGTCATTTGATGTGGTGTTGGGAGATATGGTGTAGGGGAGCACTTTGTAGAGTAGGGTTGATGGTTGGACTCAACAATCCCAAGGATCTTTTCCAGCCTGAACAATTCTATGATTCTACATGATGCAGTGCATTTTTTTATGAATGACAGCTTGTTGGGCCATTTTTTTCCCTCAAGTTTTCAGTTGCGTTAGAGATAGGAGGTGGGTGTGGTGTCTATCAACTATGCAGACTGTCTCAATGCTCATTTGATTTACCATTTTGTTGTTACTCCACAGTTTGAGATGCTGACGGGATCATTACCCTTCCAGGGAAAAGACAGAAAGGAGACAATGGCTCTCATTCTCAAGTGAGTACCGAAACTGCTTTCCTTGCTCTGACTGTGAGTTAACTGTACCCTCTGGGCAGCCTACAGCTCCCAGGTATATGAAAGGTAGAGAATAATAATGTCTTTTTCAAAGCTCTGTAAGGCATAAATCTGGTAAGGCAAGCACAACTGCTGCCTGCATGTGGCTTTAAAATTGCCTTCAGAATAAATAGTAGGAAGTGAAATACTGAGAGGGCCTTACAAAAGAAATGTATCCTACTTTCTGTAATACAGAATGTCATTATCCACACAAAAGTGGGAACAGTCACATTTCTGCAGGACAGCTTATGTGTTGTTGTTGTCAAGTTTCAGATCTTTTCCTTGCAAATTTCCCGTTCATTTAATGTTAAGTGCAGACATACGGATTTGAATCTTATCTTTGTTCAATACAATTTTTCTCTGTAGTAGTGAATCGCCAAGGAAAATGTTTTATTTTCTTTAATTGATATGTGGTTTAGTATCATTGTTTTCATGAATTTTAGTTAGTTTGTTTAAATTCCTCTTGATTTTCAAATTTATTCCAGCAAGCTAAAAAAGTGAAAAAAATTTCTGTAGGAAAATGACCATATGTTGCTAAAGGTGTTAACAGATTCATTTGATCTACTGTACCTGTAATGAATAGAGTGGTAACTCCAACAGAACAAGATTGGGTCCTCAATCTGTATTGCATTTTGCTAAGGCAGCCCTTGGTCTCCAAATTCATGTCTGCCCATCTTGACTACTGCAATTCCACTTTGAAAACCACAGTGGGGTGGAGAAAATTTTTGAAAAAATCTATTTTCAAGTGTTGTGTTCTTTCAGAGCCAAGCTGGGAATGCCGCAGTTCTTGAGCGTAGAAGCCCAGAGCCTGCTGCGAGCCCTCTTCAAGAGGAACCCCTCCAACAGATTAGGTACGCGCGCATTTGATGGGGCATTTGCTATGTGTGCTCTGCCTTGTCTGGTGGTGATCATTTCTCTTGGTTCATCTTCCCTGGTAGTTATCCTCTTCATTATGCAGCCTTTTGCATTCCTTCCCAGAGTGCAGTGAACCTTGAGCATTACCAGAGAAATTTGCAAAGAGCACAGGGAAATCTAAAACATTGTATTAACCATTGAAATCTGGAGCCATTGGAACCTAAAACAATGTATTAACTTGTATTTTAATTTTTTCAATGAAGAGGGAGAGTAAACTACCAGCATTTATGAAGGGTTTAGGATAACTGCTGCATATGATAATATAAGGAACTGAGAAACAGGTATCTTTTTAATTCAGTGTAATTTAGCTGCAAATCTGAGGTGGAGAGCAAAAGAGAGTAGAATTTCTCTCTCCTATTCTCACATACATTTCAATGCTGTCTCATTCTGTTTGCTGGGAACATTTTCAAAGTAGGCTTTCTTCCTTATTACCCTAAATGTATTACCTCCTTTCTTACTACTGTGTTTTCACCTTTTGTTAGTAATCCTATTTAAATTGTGATAAACTAGAAGCATGTATTGGATCATGTATCTTATGCCATATCTTTGTTTTCGGGAGTTTTATTAAGTAATTAGTTGCATTTGGCAAGGTCATGGACAATGCCTGCTGCATGATTTTCATTGCAAATTTGGTCTTCAGTTTTTATGTGGAAAAATAAGAACAGCCATATCAAGTGAATGATATGAAGATAATAGCACTGTATTGTTTTTCATTTAAGAATCTTATCTAGTTCTGTGAAAAATATTGGAGGTTTCTTTTTTCCTCGTATCTCTCATATTCTGCATTTTGGATGAGCAAGGGAAGAATTTGCTTCTAAAAGAAAGGCACAAACATTTCCTTCGTGCCTCTGTTGGACATTTTGTAATTTTAGAACCTTCGGTTCTGTAAACTGTATCACAAGAAGAGAGCTAATGGGTCATATTTAAATACGTGGTTGACTGTCATTGCTATCCATGGGAGTTTTGGCAGCTAATAAATGACTTCTTTTTTAGAAAATGGCATAGACTGGTTAAATATTGAGACTTGTGACAAGCAAGTCCTGTGGACAAGGACAGTGTGGAGCAGGCTGCCGCTGGGAAGAGCAGGAGCCCAGAGACCTTGTGCCACAGAGGGACCAGGGGACAACCCAACCTCCCACAGGGCTGGGCAGGAATGGGAAGCCAGTCTCTCATCACCCTGCTGTGGCTCCTCTCCTCCTGGGGGGACAACCACACGGCCCATGGAGGCAATTCCCTCCCATGGGTTTTACCTCTTGACCTAAACAGTAACTTCTGTAGTTTGATATGCTGGAGAGATGATAGTGGAAAAAAAACACTTTCTCAGCAGGTTTCAATTGCTCTCAAGCAATTTGCTTGACATTAGACAAAATTAGAGTCTTGGGATTCCTAGGTTTAATCTACATTCAGAAAAAACAAGATGCTGCAGCAAATACAGACTTTTCCCCACTCCACTGCTCCATTCCTTTCTGCTGTTTCCTCCCTGTCTCCGTCTCTTGGTTTTGTTCTGCTCTGCTCATTTTGTGGCTTCCCACAAGCTGCTATCCATCCAAAATGGGGCTCCAGTTAAGTCAGTGGGAGTTTCTGGATACTGATCCTTAAATAAAAAGCTACTTACCAAAATAAGCAAAGTTGCTTAGTTTTAGCCATGACAGTTCTAGCCCCCATATCGACTCCCTTTTAATAACAGGGAGTTGCTAAGGGTCAAGGTTTTAAGCCTGAGGTTTATTGAAATACTGGTAAGGGTGGGAGAAAGAAAGAGATTATTTATAACAAAAACATCCAAGGAAGTAAAATCTAGAAGAGTAACAGAAAAATAGATCTTAACATTTCAGGGATAGTGGTGGAAATCTTCTGAAGGCTTTCTCTATTTTAACTGATTGAGAATCAGCACGAGGGACAATGAAAACAGCTTGTTGGTAATGAAAGAAGGAATACTTAAATGGTTGGCCTAAATACTGAACAGAAGTCAGTAGATAAAAGGACTGCTTCAACTTTGTGGATTTTAGCTTTTTCTGGGAAAGGAATAATAGTCTGAAGTTAAAAGAAAAGTAGGCTTAGACATCCTGTTTTGAAAAATCTTTGGAAAATTAATGAAGCGTGCTAAAATAAATGAATCATTTTATGGATCAAACACTTCTTTTCAGCCATTGTTTCAGAAGTTTGCAAATCTGGAAAGTGTTTGTATTTAGTTCCAAAGTGGTTTTAACTTTGGCAAGATGAAAGATGCTAAGCTTCAAAAATCATTTTATTCTGACTACCATCTTGCTTTTTGCCATTTCATTTTGATATCTTAACAAATAGAAATAAAGATTGATGATGTATTCTAAAATTTTGCTTTGAAACTTTGTTTTGAAGCATTGGATTATTAATGGAAAAAAATATTAGAGTCGAAGGGAGATACTCAGACAAGGCAGAGAAGAAATTTAGTAATCCAGTTTACCTGGTTCTATTTTTAAGACTGGTGAACATATTAATGCTTTAGAAAAATTTTTAAGGAGTTAAAAGTCTTCCTTCCTTTGGCATCCCTTCTTATAGGCCTGTTCTGTTCTTTTCTGAGCCTATACACTTTGCTGTACAAATAGTCTGCATACTATTGCTTTGGTATTATTCCTCTGATTAAGTACAACAAATTTCAGATTATGGACAAGAATAATTTCAAATTCTTAAAATAACTGGAATATCCAGGCAAACAAGGAGTAAGCATCTCAGAAAGGAAATTGTACTATGAAAGTGTTAGTTCATTACATTGCCAGGAATTTAGGCAAGGGACTAATTCTTGCCCTAAGACCTGGATCTGCTCAGGTGGGTAAATAAATGTAAAGAGCATTTCAGGAATTCCCTACACTGCTGAGCAATATAAATGTTCCAGAGTCCTTATAATTGAGAATCTTGGCCAAGAATGTATAGAGTAAAACCATGCACCAGCAGATTCAGAGTAAAAGCCAAAGAAATAGCTATTACTTCCTTAATCCCATGTTCTCAGAGAAGATACATTCTGCTTTGGCACATAGAAAACTTTGTTTTTCAATTTTATAAGATAATGAGTTTCAAAAACAAGTGTCACCTTTGTCAGAGTGACTGTGCATCTTTCTTGTAAACCTTAGAAACACATTTCAAAAAATCTAACCCACTAAAAAGATTTTGAACCTGTGGATACACTAAAATTTTATAATCTGAAGTTAAAGATTTGGAAACTCTTTCTGCTCATTTTGAATATCCAAATAATCATCTTTCAAATTCATAGGTCTCCCTTTTTCCCCTTAATATATTTCAAAGCTCAGATGATCCAAAGTGATTCAACAATCAAAACCAATTACAAATAAAACATTCTACTGTTACTGCTCATAGACACTTTTATTACAGGCATAAAACAATCTTAGATAATCAGGTTGTCGCTTATTAAAATGAGGCTGCTTTTATATAAATCCTTGCTCTCTATAATGTGTTTAAACTGGCAATTTGATCTGAAAGCATTATTTATCTTCTCAGACTCTCATGGGGCTGGGTAGCATGTAGGAATATTTACAGGCAGTAGGTTTGATTGTGCTGATTTTTCTTTACAGATAGGTTTGATTACTAAATTTAAGTTAAAGCAAAGTTAAAAAGAGCGATTAGAAACCTGAAGGAAGGTAAAAGGTTTGCAGTCGTGTGGTGTGCCATCATGTGCTGTGCTTCAGCAGTTTGCTAAATACTCATCTCTATGCCAAGAAGCATCCATCCCTATGAAACAGGACTTTCCAGTTATGACCTCTCCAGTGCTTCTCTTTTCTCTGCGAAGGCACATCTCTTTCCAGTACGACTTTAGATTTGCAGATGGCAGATGCATGGCTGAAACATGCTGTGCAAATCCAGAGAGACTCCTCCTTAAGCAGCAGTGCCCAACCTCTCCTATGGACTCCTGCAGCGGGGTCAGGGTTGCCCCTCCAGACTCCCAGAGATGTCCCTGAATGCACCCTTGGGCCACCTCCCTTCTCCAGGAGAGGCCACGAGCTGCTGCCTGTGGCCACAGCACACAGCCCAAGAGGGAACCGTGGGCTGCACCAGCAGGTCTCATGGTGGGGAAGATTGGGGAATAAAAGCTGCAGGAAGCACTGAACCTTTTCCGTGGTGTAAAATCAGTTGCTGGGAATTGGAAGTCCTTCACTCTTTGCAAAATTAGGCTATTACCATCCTAAATCTCTTTAATACATTAAGCTAACCAGAGATGGAGTCAAGCCCTGGCATTCCTAACAGCATATTCCTTCTGTGCCAGAGCTCTGAGGTGGCTCCAAGTGGGAAATGCCAATTTTTCAAACAAATGCCTGTCTCAACTTCATGCTGCATTCCTTACTGCACACTGCAGTCCCCCACTAAGAGAAGTAGCTATGGGTGGCCTTTTTCCTTGGTCCTGATTTCTGTATTGTTGTGGAAAAAACCAACAACAGTAGCAAAAAGTATGACTTTCAAATAGATCATCTGAAAAAGGCAGGTCGTCCCCATCACACAATGATGTATCTATCCATAAGCCCAGAAAAGAGGGAAAAGGGAAACAGTGGGGAAGGGACAGAACAGAGAAGATGGAATGCATTAGCTGTTATCCTCAGTCCAGGGAATGCTACCAGTAGTTTACAGGTCTGTAGCATTTAACTCAGTCCTTCAAACTCAGTTTGGCACTTGGATTTCACCTTTATGTAGCAAAGAACATCTACTGCACATTATGAAGTTTCCAGTCACCACCACTGAACACAAAACATGTTTCACAGATATTTCTTCTCTGAAGAGTTGCTTAATGTAATTCTCTTCAGAGTAACTGTGTTGGTTTCGTGTTTCTGTTGGCATTGCTAAAATCTGAATGAATCTGCCACGGGAATCTAGTGCAAACTTTAGATTATGCATTGAAAAAACATACTAGGGAAGATAAGGAACAAGTCTTATTACTATCTAAGTCTTAGGATTTTCTTGTTCAGTACCTGAACAAAAAATAACAAGCGCCTAGGGAAGAGTAAGAATAGGGTAAGCATATGTAATACTTCACCCAAATTCTCTCCCAGTCTACCACTGCTTTAAGGTCAAGCAAGGAGTTTCCTGAACCACTTGTGATTTGTCAATGAAGTAATCTTCAACAGATTTCTCTGCCCAACACTTTTCTGCCCTCCCCCTGAACCTATATAAATGTTTTGCGTCCACATCTTCTTTTCCAAGGATTTCTACATCACACAACTATCTGTTGCCTGAGGAAACGTGTCCAGGTTGTTCTGAAACTGATTCCTGCTAGCATCATGTGATGACCTATTGTAAATCCCTGGTCAGCTGTTTTCAGGTTAAAAAGTCCTGGCCCTCTCAGTCATTCCATACCATTCTGTGTTGCCCTTTGATTTTTCCTACCTTTAATAAGCATACTCCTTTATAGGTGAGGGTGTCAACTACAGTCCACATTCTAGTTGTAGGTGTACAACAGACTTACACAGTGACAGTGCAATGATGCTCTCCCTTTTGTCCTCTTTTTTCTTTCTGAGATTTTGTGTTGTTTAGCTAGAACTGTCTGTCTGTCATAACCCAAAGATCTCACTTCTCTTTGGGGTTGATCAGCTCCGAGCACATCATTTTGTATGATGGGCCAGGATTGTTTATCCTCATGTGCGTCACTTAGATTTGTCTGTACTGTAAGATCACCAGGATGGGGAGGTAATCAGAAGAACATTCCTTTTGCGTTACTTTCGCGCAGGCCTGACAGACAATCCTGCATGTTGTGTTCAGGAAGTGTTTGCTTTTCGTATCCATTCGTCAGTGGATGTTAAGCAGGCTGTAGGAAGCCGTTCCTGATCAGTGCATTTTAGCAAACATCGGTAATGTCTTGCACGCAGGGAGAGCAGATGTCACATTTTACAAAAGCTTGAGCTGACAAGACCTTTCTAAAGCTGCTTGTAATGTTGATCTTCAGAAAGTACAAATACTGCATATAAAAAACTGAGTCGTCTTAGGTGCTGAGTGCCTTTTGCAAGATGCTTATGAATCCCGAGTACTTTTAGGAATCAAGAGTGCTCAGCATCCTTGTAAAGAAGTGCTGGGTACCTTTCAGGAATGGATTCCAAAATTGCAATGCAAAGCATTTGCTTCCAGATGTTATTTCTCATACTGGAAAATGAAAGGTGCTATTAATAAAGTGAAATCAACCCCCAAAATGGCATGCTAAATAATCTCTGACAGTTGTTTAATTATTACTGAGCACCTGTTGGTTTTTGCGATGGCACTGAAGCAAATAAATTGAGCTAAAGGAATAAAAAAAGCAATCTTCAGTGAAGACATAAGGCAAAAGTAATGAAGGAATTGGATTCATTACCAAATCTCAGAGGAGCTTCCCTAAATTTCCCAGAATCACAGAATCACAGAATCGTAGTGGTTGGAAGGGACCTCAGAGATCATCGAGTCCAACCAACACACAAAAAAAAAAAAAAAAAAAAAAAAAAAAAAAAAAACCAACAAAAAAACAAAAACCCAAACCCACCACCAAAACA